TTTTTTTTTTTTTTTTTTTTGTTTTATATATATTTATTTGACATAGAAATTTTTATAAAATTGAAATATCTAAAAAGAAAATTTCCCAATATATGGAAGGAAAAAAATTCCTCAACTTTATGAATCTAGAAAATAAAGGGTAAAAGTGTCAAATCCTCCTATATTTACATGTAATTGAAATTCGGTAGTGTCTGGAGTTTTTAAAGAAAAAAAAGAAAAAAAAGAAGAAAAAAACTAAATCTAGCAAGAGTTAGTTCTCTCCCGCCTCGCGTTCACCGGTGTTGGATGGGTCCCTCTTCATTTCCGCCGGAGGCAAAAAGGAATCCATCGACAACCCACAAATGTTAAAATCAACCTCTTCAATTCTCCAATTCTCCTCTATTTTCCTCCGGTGGTTGAGTGTCTCGCCGTACCGGTGCAACCTGGCCGTCGTCCGGCCGCTGTGAGCGATGTTGATGTTGTCGACGTACTGGTAATCCTCAATGGTGGAAGCAATGCTGGTCTCCCAGAAAACTTCGTTTCGTTTGCCGGCTTTCATTTTGATTAGCTTGGTGTCCTCGAATTGGATGAGGAGACCCGTTCTTTGGCTGAAGTAGCCCCAAATCGTGTGGTGAACAATCTCCACGTGCGACGTGCTCTGTGATCTTAACAACTCTGATGCCGTCTCCAGCTTTAGAATGAAACAATCTTCTTGGTTTACGGTTCTCTCTCCAATGCATACGGCGCATTCGAACAGATTCGCAGTGTGCCGTGGATCTAATCCCTAAATTTCATGTTTATATCAACCAGTGTCAACAGTGATGACTAAAAGTCCACCAAAAACAGCGCAATAAGTCCTAATTTGAACTATAATCATATAGTTAAAACTTTCCACCTTCGTCGGAGAATAAAATGGTCACCTGAAAGAAGCGGCGGAGAGGTCTGGGAGGACCTTTATTGGCATGGCTGGGCTGAGAAGAAGACTGGTTCCAAGCGACCTTGCCGTCGCTTCCGGCGCTGATCTTGTAACCAGACACCACAAGTTCGAGATACCAGAGGTCCGGATTCTTCTGCCAAAGCACAAATCCACCGACCTCACATTTCCCCTTCATCTGAACACTGTCTTCCCCTTGCTGCATCGCCGATCCCAACATCTTCACCTGTCCCACCGCGTACATACTGTTCACCGAGTTCAATGCCGCCTGTCCACCCGCCGCCGCCACATACTGATGCACAATATACTTGGCTGTGGACGCCTCCTAAACATACAAAGAATGCATGATTCGCTTTGATTTTATTTGAATGTGCATCGAGAGAGAGAGAGAGAGAGAGAGAGATAAACGGAATCTTACAATGGAATAGTCTCTGATAGAGAAGTTGAAGGTGAGATCGAGATGGACCTGGAATGGAATTAAAGGAGTGCCGACGAGCTTGAGGAGAGCCATGAACTCGTTGTTGGAAGCGGCGGAGAGATGGGAGGAGGATTTACCATTGTTGACGTTAGTATTCGCGGCGGATTGAGCCTTCATTAAGGCGCGGAGATTCCGCCAACGGAGGGCGGCATTGGTGCCCATATTGGTGAACATTTCTTCAGGGATTGGGACCTCCAGAACCGTGTCGAGTCCATTTTCATGGTCGACATTGGGACAGAGCATCCTCATGGAAGAGAAAATGAGATGGATGAGATGAAGAAGATTATTGATGAAATGGTTTTGGTTTGAATGGGGGAAGGGGGGAGCGGGATGGCCCTGTCCTCGCCGCAGCGAGGGGTGGGGGGTGGAGCTTTGTTAAGGTAAGCGGTGGTTAATGGAAGTGGGAGGGGGAGGGGGAGGGGAGGGGGAAGGAGAAGGAGTGGGATTTTGGGGAGGTAGTTTCTTCGCGTTGTGGTCCTTACGCGTAGGTGTCGTACTTAGAGGTCACGATTTTATGACCGCCCACTCACTAACTAACTGCCTTTCTTTTATTGGCTTCCTTCTTTTTACGCCTCCGTTACCATTGTCAATTGCAAATTCGTCCTAAAAATTAATAATAGTTCCGAATAATTAACTTTTAATGGAATTAGGTAAGAATTAAAAATGTTTTTGTTATTCTCCTCCGATTATGGTAAGAATTAAAAATTCGTCCTCGCGCTCATCCCCTCTCCAATTGATGTGAAATTTTACCACTCTCTTGGGGTCTAGCGTCTCACTGTCACATGGTTTGGTGTATGGCTTTCATCCTATTTGTAACAACTCAAATTCATCCACATCCTTGTGAAAACTGTTTTGTTATCCTCTCTGATTGATGCGATATCTTACCACTCTATTGGGACCCCTAGTGTCCTCACTATCACGCCACCCCGTGTCGGACTCTGATACCATTTGTAACAACCTAAACCCATTGCTAGTTGTGTAACGACCTAGATCCACCACCAGCAGATATTATTCTCTTTAGGCTTTCCCTTTCGGCCTTCCCCTTAAGGCTTTAAAAATGGTAGTGGTGGATTTGGGTCATTACAAATGGTATCAGAACCAGACATTCTCGCTGTTCCCCGAAGGGAGGTAGACACGAGACAGTGTGCCAATAAGGATGCTGGGTCCCAAAAGGGGTGGATTTGGGGACGGTCCCACATCGATTGGGGGAAGGAAAGAGTGTTCCACGTCGATTGGAGGAAGGAAAGAGTGTCATCGAGGACGCTGGACTCCGAAGGGGGTAGATTGTGATGTCCCACGTTGATTGGGAGGATAACAAACCAACATTTATAAGGGTGTAGAAATCTTTATGGAAGCCCGAAAGCGAAAGCCCAAAAGAATAATATGTGCTGGCTGTGGATCTCAATGTGCCTATGGTCTTCTTTAGACTTTACCTTCTATTTTTTCCCGTTTAAAAAAGAATTTTTAACACAAAATTAAAAATTATAACTCTCCATCAAATTAATTTATTTTTATAGAGGTTAAATTTGTAATTTAATTAATATTTTATATATCTAACCTAAAATAATTTCTTTTTATTTATTTTTGCTGATTTGGTGGGAGAAGGTCAAAGCCGAGGCACCAGCTTTCTCTGGACAGGGTTAGACCTCGCTTATCTCCGCCGCTAACGATGAAGGCAACCCTGAAGACTAAGTACGACGTAGACAAAAGCGGCGCCGTCTCGACTTTGGCCATTAACGCCGGCGATGTCAAGCTCCGTGCTTCTATCACCGACGCTACAATCATCAACGGCCCTAGTTTAAATGGCCTTGCTCTTGGCGTCGAGAAACCTGGCTTCTTCATGGTCGACTACAATGTTCCCAAAAAGGTACGCCGACTGTTCCACTTTGCAGATTCAAATGGCTCTTCGATGGTTGTGTAGTGGAAATAATTTCATGAAGTTAAACATAATATCGATTCATTGTACTGCCTAATTGAATTTGAAACATATTAGATTTCTCAAGAATTCATTTTCCCCTTTCGCATCGTAAAATCGAATCTCGTGCTAAATTGTTTCGTTATTGCATGCGATTGTACAGGATTTGCGCTTTCAGTTTATGAATACTGTGAAGGTAGTAGAGAAGCCTTTGAATTTGACTTACATCCATAGTTGGAGCGACAACAGAACAGTTCTGGACGGGACCTTAGTCTTTGATTCAGCTAACAAGGTCTCTGCTAATCACGCTCTTGGCTCTGGAAATTGTAAATTGAAGTACAGCTACGTGCACGAGGGGGTGACCACTTTTGAACCTTCTTATGATGTTGCAAAGAATTCGTGGGACTTCTCTGTATCAACGAAGGTTTATGGCGACGATGTACTCAAGGGTACGTACCAGACTACAACCAAGGCACTGGGACTAGAATGGACAAGGAATTTGAAGTCAAGCGGAAATTTCAAGGTAAGTGATTTTGTCATTATATTTATATGCAATAATCTTGCAATAATCTTGCAGTTGGCCAAACTTGCAATAATCTTGCAGTTGGTCATTATATTTATATGCAATAGTCGAGCTGTCTACTCTTTTCAGAACACACTCTACTTGCAATAATCTTGCAGTTGGCCAAACAGTGAACACTTATTTGAAAGAATGTCCGGCCTGGAAGTTCTAATGGCTGCACAGTTTATGAATATTTTTTTAGGTCAGACTGTAAAATCAAGCATTCATTATCCAGTAAATCATCATTCAATGATCATTGCCAAGTAATTGCCAAGTAATTTGGGGTATTCAGTGTTGTGAATTGTCACAAGGTCTTAGTCCTATTCTTTGGGACTTTAAGTTTCTTTCTGTCGATATTTTTAGGTTCAACCATGATTGTAAAGGCTATATAATTATATAATGTCATGCTTAGAATTAATAAAACCGCGTTTGAGATCCAATTGTTTATGTTCTCTGCCCTAACAATCTGCTGCTAAACTTATCAAGTTTTGTGTGTCACATTGTAATTCTTGAGTGACATATTGGTGAGAGTCTTTGTAGTGTGATAGTGAGGAACTTCTTCTCTCTGAACCACGTAAATATCTTGGTGCCTCTTTGTGTAATTCCGTTCATTGGTGTTGTGAGTACATTTGTTCCGCTTTCGGCACACAACAAGATTCGACATTTGTAATGTCTTCAGGCATCTCCTCTTTCCTTCTTTCCTTGTTGTGCGCCGAAAGTAGAATAAATGTACTCACAACACCAATAAACGGAATTACACAAAGAGACACCAAGATATTTACATGATTCAGAGAGAAGAAGTTCCTCATTATCACACTACAGAGACTCTCACCAATATGTCATTCAAGAAATACAATGTGACACATAAAACTTGATAAGTTCAGTAGCAGATTGTTAGAGTAGAGAACATAAACAATTGAATTTCAAGTGCAGTTTTATTAATTCTAAGCATGGATTATATAGCCTTTACAATCATGGGTGAACCTAAAAATATCAGCAGAAAGAAACTTAAAGTCTCGACTAATCAATCCTAAATATTAGGACCTTTTTACAACAATTGCTCTCGAAAGCCCGAACATTTAGAGCCTCCCTCACTCAAGATCAATCAAGCCCAAGCCCAAACCAACTAAACCAGTGGATACGCGCCTTCTTCCTTTCCTACCCAGTCTATTTATAGTAAATTTGCACAACTTTTCTATATATCCTTTATACTCCTATAGTGTTCCTAATAGCATTTCTATCACAAAGGATTGGAGATTTGGGAGGAAGTTCTCTAGATTTATGGATTTGAGCTTCCGAGCGGAAAGCTTTGATAAATGCAAAGTTTGATGTCTCATAGAGCCAATGTTAGAGCACTGGGGATCTTCCTATGGACTAATGGGAGTAGGCCCTGATACCATGAATCAAAAGAGACAGGGTTTCCAATTGGAATCACTTGATTTTCTACTGACTTAGCCTCAAGTAATCTGTTGTTTGGTTTGTGGTGAGTACTATTTGGGACTTTGCCATCTTATCTTTGAAAAATCTCCCTCTCCCACGTGGGGGGCTTGAGGAAATTCAGGACATATTTATTAGTCTGGCCATACGCAAGTGCAGGATTACAAAAAACAAACAGGATAGTCAGCCTTTTGAGTTAGGCTCCACGTTTCCGAAATTGTTAACTTAACTATTAACTTAGGTTTGAATTGGTTAATAGACTAATAGTTGGGGGGCTGAGTTTCACAATGCAGATTGAAGTGTTGCATTGAGATGAAACACTTTCTTTACCAGTCGTTGCAACGGAAGGGTTTATTCACCGTGAATTATATTCAAGATTTCTAGAAAGTCTTAGACTCCAAGAAAATTTTCGTGTTTTCGGTTAGTGAAAGTATTTCCAGATGATTTCATACCTAGGTGTAAACATGTTATAAGAAGTGTGGCAGTGCACTGACATGGGGAAGTTGAGTAGAGGGAAAATACCTGCAGCCTGCAGGGTCGAAGTGGTGGTTCCAGGCTGAGGTTCTTGTTGAGGATTGTTACGAGGAAGTCCCACGTTGGCTAATTAAGGTGATGATTATAGGTAAGGAATACATTTTCATTAGTATGATGCCTTTTGGGGAAACCTAAAGCAAATCCACGAGAGCTTATGCTCAAAGTAGACAATATCATACCATTGTGGAGGTTCGTGATTCCTAACCGTTTTGGTAGTAGAGATCTTGAAAACTGCTGTATTCTCATTGTAACTAGTTTTATCAATTCATAACAAGATTGTTTATTCTTGGTGGCAATGGTAACTATGAACATTCTTTGATAAAACTGTAGTGGCACCCGAGTCAATTAGCTCACGTAGTGTATGAGTTTTTCCACAACCCGAGCAGCCTTCAATCTTAAGCTCTAGAAACCAAATGATGCTCGTTTGATCGTTTCAAATGCCGACTTTCACTTCAGCCCTTCTAACCCATGTTTTGTTGTGCAGATTGTAGCATCAGTCAATCTGGGAGATGAACCAAAAAGGCCAAAAGTAACAGCAGAGTCGACATGGAACTTTTTAGTGTAATTTTAAAACCAATCTTTGCTTTAAATTCCTGTTTGTGATTCATTGTGGACATGGAGTTTCCTAAATACATTGATGTTTGAGTCTCATAATGTCTTGTGCACTGAAAATGAACGTACCATTGCATCAAAAACCTCACTGAAAATAAGAAGTAAGAACTTTCCCAGTTGCGCATTTATCTTCATCTGCTCTTGATTCTCAGGGGATAGTTTAGGGCTTTGTGAAGAATTCCAAGAATCGATGAATTTTATTAACTTCTAAGGCAAATAATCGACCAATTATTGAGATTGCAAGGAAATAAAAGTTGTCACGTGCCTCTTATAGAATTCCGTGAACAAAATTAACTTGAATAATTTATTAATGAATAATTCCATTAGCTAATAACCCCAACAATATTGGTTAACCCTTAACCAGGAAAAGAAAATATTGATTAATGATCTCATCGAGATATGCCCATCTTTCTAAAAAAGAATTAAATTTTAATATTAGTTTATTCTTAATTTATTTTTTAAAATCTAATCTCTATTTGTTTTTTCTTTTTCTATAAAGTTCGAAAATTATGATTATTATTGTTAATTTTGATAAAAATTCGACTAATTTTAAGATTTATTAGAATTATAGGGATTAAAATTATATTTAAACTATTTATAATTTTATTAATTATTTATAGTATTTTAATTACGAAACAAAAAAAAAATGGTAATTTTTTGATCTAGGATAAATTAAGGAGGACAATAACCGACAGATCATCAAAAAATAAAAATAAAAATAAAAAATAAAAAGGAAAAAAAGAAAGAAGAAGAGAAACGAGTGGGCCGGGCCGGCTTTTACATTTATTACCGACAGATCATCAAAAGATTCCGTGGAGTCGTCCAAGAAACAGGTAATTTTGGCGGGCTTGCTCTACTTTGTTTGTTCGGCCATCTCGCGGTCCCTAAACTAAAATAAAAGGCTGCCTTTGCCTGGCGAGCCTTCACAAATATTTTCGAATTCGCTTTGCCGCCACTACAATCTTCTCTTACCGCCTCCGGATTCTTCATCTACTGCTTTCAGGTCAGTCACTTCTTCGTCTTCGATTTTTTTGTGACTTTTTTTGGATGGATAGCGACGACGATTTCCAGTTACTTTCGTCTCCCGAGCTCGATTCCCCTCTGGTTTCCGGGAGGAAGTTGAAGCGGTTGAAGAAGGGAAGTGCTGCTGTCTCCGAGGATTTTCCGAGGGATGATCGATTTACGGGTGGGGAGATGGGGGAATTTTCGAGGATCGATGATCGGTTCGATGAAATGCGTGAATTGAGTGCGATGGAATTTGAAGCGGATGATTCTGATAACTTGAACGGCCAAGATCTGGAGGACTCCGATGAGCTTCAACAATCGGGATCTGGATCGAGGGATTTGGATGAAGGTGGTGATTTGGAACGTACTCTTGGTTTGGATGGGGAGGAAAATGATTCTGGAGTGGAGAAGGCCTTGGAATTTGATGCTGTGGCAGGAGTTGATGAAAAAGCTGAAGATCAAAGTCTGGGCGTAGGAGAGGAAAGTGGGGGAGTGACGATAGATGAACTGGAGAAGAAACGGCCTAGTTTGGATGCGTTCGAGGACGAGAGAGAAGCAAAGAGGAGGAAATCTATGAACAAACGGCTCAAGAGCAGTGGAGAGCCTGGAGATTTCAACGAGACTGCGGTCTCCAAAAGAATTCTCGAGAAGGTATGAATCCTTCAATGTTCTTAACTGTGATAACTTATGTGGATATTTCCCCAATTTCTCGGCGTTTGCTTACTAAATTTGCTTATATTTTTCAGGAGAGAAGAGAATACGTTGAGCAACTCCGCGCCGAGTCTCAGAGACTCTTGCGAGGTAAGTACTATATCTAACTCTCAAAATCATGCTCTAATTCTTCTGAAAAACCATCGATCTTTATAATAAAATGCCAAGCAAAAGCACCATACTTCCCCATTTACATTCTCAACATTTTAATTTGATTTCTTGTTAGATACTAGAGGAGCAGCATTCAAGCCCATGCCACTTGTTCGGAAGCCAATATCTTCAGTTTTGGAAAAGATCCGTCTAAGGAAGCTTGAACTCTCTAGGAAGTGGGTATTCTCTTCTTAGCCATACATGCAAATTTAACTATGAACTTATGTAATATTTACGTACGCAGATCCACCATTATCGAGAACGCCATTTTCGATGACGACGATGACGATGGATTCACAGAGGTCGTCATCAAGCATAGGTTATCTGTAGAAGGGAGATCAGATTCTATAGACAAAGAATGCGAGGATGTGGATCAGGTTGCTGCAGATGTGGAGGACCAAAAAGATTCATTGTGTATAGATGAACGAAGTAATGGGAGAAACATGCCCTCAGACAGGGAAAGGGTTAGATGCTTCCACCTCTCCTTCCCGTGCCATTAATAAGCTTAATTAGTTTATCCTTAAAGCAAGCTGTTACTTTCTTTGTTTGGTACACCCATTATTATGTAGCTTTCCCTCACTTCTAAATGGAGTTTTATCACATGCTTAAGAGTAATAATTCTAGTGGTAGAAGTATTGGGTTAGTCTGGTTGAGCCATTGCAAAAGCTAAGACTTGAAGGAAGCTAAATGACATTCTTTATGTACTGAATATTTGGCACAACTTACAATTCCATTTTTGGCTGCAAGAATTGTCAAATTTCATGTGTAATGAAGTTAGGATTTCAAATGTGCAACTGACTTTGATGCAGTTGTTCCCTTTATGTAATACAGGCTACCGATGCGATTTCAGAAGCATTTCGGTCTCCTGTTAATGACACTCAGGTATTTTCATTGAGTTGTGATGATGTTTTGTGTTCTGTCTATATTATGAGCAAAATTAACATGTCTATCATGTTCTAGGAACTCTTTTCTGATTCCCAAACAAGCAATGGAGATGATATATCAGATGAGATGTCCAAAAATCCTCTGCAAGAAAATTTTACGCCATCTGTATTGGCTATGAATTTAAAGCTTGAATCTGCACCTCTGGATGATGTGTTGGACGAGGCATCCAGCAGTCGTCTGCAAGAAAATTTCACGCCATCCGTCTTGGCAATGAATTTGAGGCTTGATTCTGCAGCCATTGATGATGAGTAAGAATGTTGTCATGTACTCATTTGATAAGTTCATGATCCTTTGGTTTACATATTGGTTACATAACTTAACTACTTTTGGTTTTTGTAGATCTGATGAAGAAGATAATGACAAGGAGAATGTTAATCCACGCCCACATGATTCGTCAAATTTGCCCTCATCGGAGAGCGGGGATCCTGTTAAAGCTTTTGTTGATGATGAAGCTGAGGAAGAAGATGACAGTGACCATGATATGCGCTTCCAAGATGAGGAGGAAGACGAGGACTCGGATTCAGAAGAGCTTAAAGATATGATAGCAACTGCGTATGAAGAAAATCCATTAGACAATGAAAGACGTAACGAACTCCATCAGAAGTGGCTTGAACAGCAAGATGCTGCTGGAACAGAAGATCTTCTGCAGAAGTTGAAATGTGGCTCAAATTTTAGCAAACCAGTTTTGCTGGAAGATGAAAATAACGAGGGAGAAAATGATGATCTTGAATTTTGTGAAACAGCTGAAGAAGATTTACTTCCACTGAATGTGGCTCGAATGAACATTAGAAAAGTGAAGCAAATGCTTCCTCAAATGTATACAGATGAGGATGATCAGTACATGTCTGATGACGAGGAAACAGAGAGGAGGCTAGCAAGAGAACTCATATTTGATAAAGCTGTAAGATTCAAGCTGATCTTTGATGAACTAAGTCTTTTATTTATATCTATGATGATCTGACCATTGTTCTGTAACAGGATGGAAAATCCACATTCCTGTCACCTGCTGAGGATGAGAGCACCAAGCAAGTCTTTGGCCTTATCAAAAAGCTGAATGTTGTGCCTGATGTCAAGAAGAGACCCAAAGCTCAATGTAAGATCTGCAAAATGTTTCCATCCATCCCTTATACTGTTTAATCCTTATATTTCGTCTCCATTTATGCAGCGTTTTCGGATCCTATACTGTCCGGTTTGGGCAAGAACACATCTTCAAAGGTATCTGTGTGCATAATCTCTAAATTCAGAAATGCGTCACCTATTTATAAAACTAACATAACATATGTGATGCAGTCATCTTTCTTAGGCCGAAGTTCAAATTCATCTCTTTCTTCATCCCACAAGCATGGATCATCAACCAACGGTCGTTCTTTTATTTTTGGTCGGGACAATAGTAATAGCAGGAGTGCAATTCCAACAATGGAGGAATCTTCTGGGGAGGTAAGCGAATATTACATTAGTTCAATCCAAACTGATCAACGTTCCTTGGTCGGGTCGTGGGCGAGGTAACAACTTCAATGGCTTGGCTTTGCAGGGTCAGTGTGAGAATAAACCAACAAGAGTTTCTTCAGCCAAGTTTAGTTACTCTCAAGTGAGACCGAGTGCACAGAACACGGCGCCCGAAACTAAATCGGGCAGTTCATTGTTTGATATATTAAGGCAATCTTCTTTGCAACTGCAACGCAAACCGTGCACTTTCGGTGAGGAGTCTACCCAAATGAGCTCTGCATTTGCGTCATTCAAATTGGAGAAGACGCACATGAAGAAGCTAATAAAGACTGAAGGCAGATTCTAATTCTCAATGCATTATTTTGTTTCTGTTAGTGATGTTTGATGCCAACTCCGCTCAACGTTTCGTTGGGTGCTGACTTTCCCCACGTTTCTGCAAGTAATCAAGATTTTTGGAAGGCCACACAACAAAACCAATTAGAAGGCAAATTTGGCTTACAATTTTGATTACTTTAAATTGGTAGTCTGACAAATTTTGTTTTTAAAAAATAGTAGTAAATTCAAACTCGATAGAATCATTTACGAAATTAGTCTTTTTTTCTTTCTTTCTTTTTTTTTTTTGCAAATATATGAACTTTGAACTTCGTAGGCAGATTTGGTTTAAGATCCAGTGATTGTGGGCCTCCCCAGAGGCCCATTAACAGCATCATTTTATCTTTCTTGTCCCTTTTCTAAGGAAGTTACGAATTTTGATACATTGCCTTCATAACTCCTCTCTCTACATATTCCTATCTCTCTTTTCTTTCAAAGTACATATATTTGCAAAAAAAGGAATGGGAACTTTCAACCTCTCCAAAAAAAAACCTAAAATAGCCTCAAACTAGGGTTAAAAGATAAAAGTTTCTAAAATATTACACAAAATCACTGAGTTGGAACTCGCAGCAGCACAAGGTCAGACAGGAAGGTGGACACCTTTTTTTGCCATGCCATCCAAGGTGTCGTTCAGCGCTTGACAGAGACCAATAATCTGAACAGATCAAACAGATAAAATAATTACACAGTGGATCCACATATCAAAAACGAAAATAATAAAATATATACATCTTTCATATCATTTTTTTCTTCTAAATATAATAAATGCAGATATCTAAACTTTGCCAAAACATATGCCAAGGAATTTAAGTGAACCAGTTTTTAGCTTTCAAATAGAAACGAGCAATAAATGGATAGAAATGAAATCCATTGAAAATACCTGTTCATCCCATTGCTGGAACTCTTCAACATCGTCCTCAAAATTAATAACAGCTTCGACCTGATTCGAAGTTCTATAGGTAAATATAATATTTGAAAATTGTTTTGACGTCTAATTAATACAAATCATTTTACTTTTAATTTATTCATTTATCGGAGTCTGAATGCGACCTCCTTTTTGAGTGAGGGGAGGAGAAAAAAGAACCTGGTCAATTGAACCCCTCATTCTCTCTTCGCAGATCATTCTTGACGCTATCTTTTCAGCCTAAAAACAGAGTCAAATTTAGAAAGCGAAATGAACTTAAATAAGCCAGCCAAATTGAGCATCTGCTTGTAAACCAGAGGCAGCAAATATCCAACAATTTCTCTCTATCTCCACCAAATACACACGTACATTCTCTCTACTTGGCCTTCACTAACTAGACCTTGATGCAACTATCCATCTTTTGTAACTTATTTGTCTTAAGAGTAAAATTTTGAGACCTTAGCTTGAATCTGTAATGGATCCCTTTTATACTTTTTGTCATTATCAGTGAACCAAGCTGTTTACAATTAAAGTAAACAGACCTTTGAAATCAAGACTAAAGCTAAGATCCCTTTTATACCTGTTCATCCTTAGGCAAACCTTTGAAATCAAGACCTGCATGCTACTATTTGTTGTTCACAAGTCTCAATTACAGATAACTATAAAGGGAGTATAAATTTATAATTATAAACAATAACTATAAAGCACAACAAGAGCCATAATACAAAGCCAAAGCTAAGAGCCACCTAACATCATTTGAAAGGCAATGTGAATCAACCATGCATCTTGTTCGTGCATAAAGATATAAATTAAACGGAATCATAGGGTACTTCAAAATAAGAGAAGGATTTTTTAGTATTCTTGGAATGTATTTCCATAAACATGGTTAGCTGGGACCTTCTTTCAAAGGAGTTTTATAGTTATTCTTTTTCTTTCTTTTCTGTTGTTTCGAGTATTGAGAGCTTTGGTAGGTTACTGATAGGATCCATTCTCTCTCTCCTCTTTATATTAAAAACAAAAGTAGTAATTGAAGGATAATTGTTACCCAAACAGACAGTAAGAAACTACTTTAAAGATCATTAGCAAGGGGTTTACGAAGTTTTGTCAAAGCGTTAAGAATAATAAAATATATCACACCTTACGAGAAGGAATGCCCAGCAAAGTGCCCAACTCTTCAAAGCTGCCACAAGAAAAAAGCCAAAACATAATAATACAACGAGCAGAAATAGAATAAGGAAGAGAAAATATACTACAGTTTTACACATTCAACCTTATATTTGTGTAAAGTTTGCTTGCACTGAGAAGATTATGCTCAATCATAGCACGGTCCAACACAGTAAAATTATCTGGCAGAAGGGCTTGCTGTTGAAGTGAGGTTAAAAAGAAAGGTTTTTAATAAATAATTTAATGCAGAATCCAGAAAGAAGTAGAGAGCAAAAACAATAACCTGATGAGGCTTCAGCTCTTTGGCAAATGCATCAATTTCTGGCTTTCTCAAAATTCTCTCCAAGTAAACCTAATAGCTCAATTTTACTCTCATTAATGTCAATTCAACAGAACATAGTCCTAATCATTGAGACAGAGAGACAGAGAAAGAGAGAGGAACCTTTTGCAGGATTGGATAGATTTTTAACTTTGAGCAACGCTCGTCCTAAGCCAAAATGCCAACATTTAGGGAAAACATATTTTGAAAATCACTCCCCTCCAAAATGACAAGTACATTCCATTATTAAAAATCGAATTTGACCTTGTATAATGTGGCAAGAACTCGAGATCGCTGTGGTCCAGCAGCAGCCAATATTGTACATGTCACTGCAGCAGATAAAGCTTGTTCCAATGCTTCTTCGTTGATCTCTCTGTGAAAAAAATAAATAAAGTAACTAACAACATCCATCTCTATAATGACTATACTAAAAAGACAGTGGCCGAAAAAGAATAATAATTACTAAGCAATATCTTTAAACATCACCAAGAATGATTTTACATTTTTCATTTAGAAAATAGTAAGTTTCTAAATTCAACAGTAGAATACAAATCATAGCATTGTGTTGAAACCCATATATTAAAAGTACGTAGGCATGAGACTTTCTTTTACGATGAAGGCACAAAATTGTTCAATACATTGAGAAAAAAAGATGCAGAAAGGAAATAAAAAATAAAAAATAAATAAATAAAGTTTGCTTTCGCCCATGCATAAGCATTATCTTTAATACATCACACAAATGATTTTACATTTTTAATTTTGAAAATAGCAAGTTTTTAAATTCAACAGTAGTATACAAATCATAGCATTGTGTTGAAATTCAGATATTAAAAGTAAGTGGGCGGGGGGGGGGGGGGGGGGGGGGGGG